GCGATTTTGTCGTTTTGGTTAATATAAAATTTTATATACCGTTTTGAAATTTTTGTTAATATTTTATACCCTTTAGGCTCCGAACTCTAACTTATTTTCTATCTACTTACTAAATATTCTATAAGTTATACAAAAGTTGATATATGAAGAACTTGTTTCTTATCCAATTACCAAACGACTCCCTTAAATATCAATCTTAACGGAGTCCACTCCACATGGTATATATTAAAAAAAAATTGTTTAAAATCATTCTTACAATTAAGTATATGATGTGACTACTCTCCTAAATAAGTTGCCATCCCCTGACTTTCAAATGACAAATTTTTCATGTGCTATTTGGGTTTGCCCCCACCTATATGGTGACTACTTTCTACAAATTAATACTGTCAAAGATCCTTACACATAATATCTTCCTCACATTCAATATTATATTGGGGACTACTTGGACATGATATCGAAAGGTTGGTGTAACAACAGGGTCGTTTGGTAGTTGATTAGCGTTTGGATCGAAATAATTAGGTATCGTGTAGAAGTTAAGACTGTGAGTAAGAAAACAAACGTAAATATATCAGAACACACAAATATTTAACGTGGTTCGATCAATCAATTGAAATCCACAAGAGGAGACGAGCAATATCCAATATATTTATACGAGAGTACACAATATAAAGAGAAATAACCTTATACAATTCACTCGAAATATGAAAGAGGTTCACACAAGAGTTAACATAACACGTGTGTCTCACAAATTCTCTCCTTACACAAAACTCTCAAAGCCTCTAGCTAGGACTACATTGTCAATGCTACAAAATCTAATCTTGCTAGAAAAATCATGGCAAATTAACTATCCAGGAGTTAGAGTTATGCAAATATTAATTATATAGAGATTATAAGTTATGAGTAAATCTATTTTTTATTTTATGCATATATATTAGCTATTTCATATCCCATCTTGTACAAAATAATACGTACATTTCCTTTTAACTTATATATGTATCCAAAAAAATGTATTAGTTATGCAAGATATTAAATTGTCAACTAAATATCATGTCAAAAATAATCGGTAAGGAAACTTTTGCGCACGGGTAGAGAGTCTGCCTGAGTCGTGCTGCCCCAGGTAACGCCTAGCTTAGTGTAGCACTTGGGTTCCATCTTTTGTCACGACCCAAAAATGGGTGTGATGACA